TGCCTGCAGCCATCCCCGCCGGCAGGACGGCATGTGGGCAGCTGTCACCACAGCTGGCTGTCCCCAGCCAGGCTGGGGCCTTGGGGACAGAAAACTGCCTGCCCGGCCCTGGCACAGAGTGGAGGAGTGAGGCAAGCCCCGTCCCCTCCATCACTGGCATGGACTAGGGGTGACTGAGCAGAAGGGCACCGGTGCCAGCCCCACTGCCAGGTGGGTCACAGGCAGTGAGCACAGGGCTCCTCTAGTTCATCCAAGGTAAATAGCTGCTGTTTCCTCTGGGGTGATGCATTCTTTGCTGTTAATTGATCTGGGCATTTGTGACTTGCCTCTTGCACTGCTGTCAATATACGCTTTCTCTTTTCTCCTGGGAGAAGCTGATAATTAGGCTCTTATCCAATAAAAGTGTCAGTTTTTTGAAGCAGAGATAGGATTAGTTTCTTTTAACTTGATGAAATATGCTTTGGCTTGAAATAATTACATGATTTGCACTTAGCACCTCTCAGCCCAGGGCATTAAAGTGATTTACAAGCAATTACGAAGCCTGCTGGGAAGATGCTTTTATCCCCATTTTACAGACACGATATGGAAAACAGAGGTTGAGGCCCTGCCCCGGCTCCTTGGCCAGAGACGTGGGGATCTTGCCAGGTCTCCTGGGAGTCCTCTGTCCGTGGGATGGGGCGCAGGCAGCAACAGGCATTGCCGCCGGAGCAGAGATCTCAGAGCACCAGTAAAAAACTGGGCCCATGGCCATGGCAGGGTGACAGCCCAGGAGTGCCACCAGCACCGCTCTGGGGCTCAGCACCGCAGGGAGGAGGGCGATGGGGAGGATGCGGGGACAGAGAGGTGCCAGGGAGATGTTTGGCAAAGGACAGAATGGCCTGAAGCGGCAGGGCTGGAGGTGGTGGGGAAGCTGGTGGGGCGCAAAGGGGCTGGGGAAAGATGGGGACAGGGCAGGGGGGACCCATGCCCAGCAAGACACTGAGCCCCGTCCCGGACGGGCTGCGGGTGGGTGCAGGGGGGTCCAACGCCAGGAACCTGGAGTTAGGGCAGGACCTCTGAGTAACTTCCAGTACCTAACGGGGAGAGATGGGGAGGGACTCCTTCATCAGGGAGTGTAGTGATGGGACCAGGGGTTTTAAACCGAAAGAGGGGA